CTTTTGTACACCTAGTCTGTTATAAATTACATATATATTCAAATTCTATATTACAATAATGGATATTAAATGTTAAGTAGCTTTTACACATAGCTTTCAATCCATTTATAAAATCTTGATGTCAGAACTCACAGCCAACAACGAAGTACATGCTTTCAAGAAAGGTTATACTTTTATTGAAGAGCTATAGATGCATTAACATAGTCATTGTTAAGAATGGCAGTTGTCCCTTGGACATAATAAGATACAGGGCATTTGTATGCACCCCCCCCCCACTGTGCTGGCCAATTAGGCACCCTCCCGCGCACGGGCTAAAGCCAGCAAACTGTTCCTAGGCGAAGCTGGGAACGGTCCAGCTCCCACGGCTGCCTGGAAAGGCAGACAACACACCCTCCCACCTGCACATCGTTATAGATAAGCATTTCAGCGCAAAGCATAGAGAGGAATGCGAAAGCAATTTACACAGACTCTGACTGAGCATCCCAACCCCCATGGCAGCATAGCTGATACTTGACCATGTTTTGTCAAAAATTTCTTCTTTTTTAATCTTGCAACATCAACGTTAATTTGTCCATTTCTGCCATGTCCAATAACTTGCAGATTATTTCTTCTTTAGTTTGTGTTTCTTCCTTTCTCCAATATTTTGCATATAAAATTCTAGCAGTTGTTACAACGTTTACAATCATATAAACATATGTTTTAAATCTGTCTGGGATTATATTTAATAAAAACAATTCTGGTACAAATGGATTACTGGTTTCTAATAATTTTTGAAGTATCTCATGAATCCATGCCCAGTATTTTTTGCTTTCTGCACATGACCACCACATATGAAAAACATTTCCAACATTCATTTGACATATTTGGATAAAGTTTTGCTAACATCTCCGGTGTAATATGCCAGCTATAAAACATTTTATACACATTTTCTTTATAAGATATAGCTTTGGTACACTTAAGATTTGTTTCCCATACCCTAGCCCAGGGGTGTCAAACATGTGACACGAGGGCCGGATCAGGCCCCCGGAAGGCTTCCATCAGGCCCACAATGGAACTGACCATCTCCTGCTTCCAGTTCTGCTGCTGCTGCATCATAGCTTGCTTCGCCAGACTCTCTTAATCACTCAGCCATTTCATGTTTTAACCTGGGTCCTAGACTCAGAACTCTGAGCATGAAATTTCTGTGGTGAATGTCAATAAATCAAAAGTAGGTTTGCAGTTTACAGAGCTAATGTTTTAAGCATGTTTTTATTTTAAGTAAAAAAAAATCTTTGTGCTTGTGTCCTTTATAAAGTTTATATCTCCACTACCTGGCATTACATTTTATGACACACATGGCCCGGCCCAACAAGGTCTCATTTATGTCAGATCCAGCCCTCATAACAAATGAGTTCGACACCCCTGCCCTAGCCCATTGGTCTAATTCAATATTCTGTCCTATATTATGAGCCCATCTAATCATTACAAATTTCATGACCTCATCTTGCATCCTGGTATCTAATAATAACATATAAAATTTTTTATAAGTTTTTCATCTGCTGCTAATAGAATTTTATCAATATCTAAAGGTTTTTCATAAAAATCAGTTTGTCTTTAGCATATCTGGAGTCAAGTTGCGCTCTCACTAAGAGGAGTTAGACTCCATCCGTGTGGAGTACTGGGATTTAGCTAAGGTATTCGAGGAGGAGGCTGATGAACTTCCCCACCACCACAATTCACTGTGCCATTGAGATCTTGCCGGGGCACAAGCTGACCAAAGGGAAACTGTACTCCATGAGACCCGTGGAGAAGGAGTTACGGAAGTTCATTGACAAAAACTTGGCGCGGGGTTTCATCCGCCCAGACTTCTCCTCGTTTGCCGCCCCCATTCTCTTCTGGAAAAAGACGGGGGCCTCCAGCTATGCACTGACTATCAAGGTTTGAATGCGGTGTCAACCACAAACGCTTATCCCCTGCCATTGATTAAAGACCTCCTAACGGAGGCTGCCAAGGGGAAAATCTTCACCAAGCTGGATTTAAGAAACGCGTACTTCCGGGTGCACATCAGAGAGGGGGATGAACCCAAAACTGCCTTCAATACCCCATTGGGCCAGTTTGAATATCTGGTGATGCTTGTTTGGGCTACAGGGCCCCCCCGGGGTGTTTATGAACTTAATAAATGAACTAGGGGACGCTAGTTTATCTTGATATTTTACTGTACTCCAGTGATAAAGAGTCCCATGTGAAGTTGGAGAGGGAAGTTTTACAAACTCTCTATGACGATAAACTGTTTGCTAAGCTGTCAAAATGTGAGTTCCACGCGACCCAAGTGAACTTCCTGGGCTATCGTATCTCTCCCCGGGGGTTAGAGATGGATCCTCACAAGGTTGCGGATGTGCTGGGGTGAGAGGCCTCTCGCACCAGACGCCAACTTCAAGCGTTCCTAGGATTTTTCCCATTTTTATAGAAATGTTATCTCAAATTTTGCTCAAGTGAGCTTGCCCCTCACTGACTTGCTGAAGACTAAAAGGAAGGGGCTGGACAGTACGAACCTAGGGGCGCGGCTGGAGTGGACAGCTGAATGGCAGGAAGCATTTGATAAGTTGAAAGCGCTGTTCACGTCTGAGCCAATAATAAGCCACCCCAATGAAACTAGGAAATTTATTATACAGGTCGATGCCTCTGACGTTGCAATGAGGGGGGCATCCTGCAAGAAGGGGTGGATGGGAAGCTCCACCCACTTGCCTGCGTTTTCAAAAAGTTTAATGCAACAGAACGAAACAGGGCAGTTTGGGACAAAGAGGCGGCTGATATTAGGCTTGCATTAATCACTTGGAGGCATTGGCTGGAGGGTGCATGAGTCCCATTTGAAGTTTGGCCGGATCACAAGAACTTGGAAACATTATGCACCCCTCGCAGCCTAAATGCTAAGAAGCTCTGGTGGGCAGAGTTTTTCTCTAAGTTCCGCTTCACTCTCCAGCACTTCCCGGAGAAAGCAAACTCCTTAGCTGACACCTTGTCCCGCCTCCCCCAACACGCTAGTCAAAGGGAGGAGTTGGTGGACTCTATGTTTATGCCCTCTCAGTTGGGAGGGGTGGTTGTCACTCGCAGCCAAGCAAGGGAGGGGCTGCAGGAGAAGGCTGAGCCCCTCCTACTACCACATCATGCTCTGGAGATAATTCCCCCCCCCTGCTATTTGTAAAGTGAGTACTGGATCACACATTAAACACAGGTTGGGTTGGGGTTTCCACCAACCCAAGTCACATGTCTACTGAAAGCCATAGTGACAAGATAAGAAATGCTGTCATTCACAGCTCCTACTGACAGCAGCCGTGATGGTGAAAGGAATTTAACTAGTTTAGAAATTCTAGCCACTGGTTTATTCCTGAAGATCATAATACTGAGAATGAGCACAAGAGAAGAGATACTAGAGATAGATCTTTACAGCACAGTGTTGTAATGTTCATTAATGTGTCAGCTCTCTTGTTTAGTTAGGAGAAACTAGCAAACTAACTTGTTCAACTGATGTTTCCTGAAACTACATTTACTCAACTGATAGCTAATAACTGTGACAGTACCTATTAAAGACAGTCATGAAAAACAAAGGAGGGTGGCTGCTCACTGTCATACTTTTAAGCAAAACTAGTTTCATAAATTTCATCCACTCCTGCAAATCTCACTTGGACGTTGCATTAGTCATCCATACGTCTGCCAACTTCTGCAATCTTTTCTCCTAATTTTCGTGTTAGATATTAATGCTTTGCAGATATATTTAGTTCTGTGACTCTGTAATTCTGTAATTGGTATATCATGTAAAGAACCAGACCATAGCAAAGCTATGAAGAGGTCCTACCATTTTCTCCTCTACAAAGATGTCATGCTTCCAATGACATTTCCAACACAACAATAATTTTTTCCCAGATAATTAATCTGCAGTGAAAAAAGCATATTCCCAAGAATAGAGTATTTTAAGCAAAATTACAGCCCACAGCTGTAACTTTCAACTGTAAACCCCATTATTTAGAACATGTACTACAAATCAGTGTGACAATGAAAAAAGGTTTATTGGACATTTAATACAAGAGCCAAAGCAGAAAAAACTAACCCCACATGACATGTTTCTACACTGCTGCTTTAAAAAGTTCTCACACTAAAAGCAAAACAAAGCTATTCGTAAAATAAGACAGTTTACAATTTGGTTCCTTATTTTTTCAAAGACCAAAGATGTACAAATTTCCCTATTTCAGTCATACATATTTACAAACTTGAATTAAATGGACACAAAACCAGAGAAAATTCTTCCAGTTTTGTTTTTTTTTTAAAAAAACCCTCACACAATGCCCATCAAATAAGAAAATTCTCTTCTGATCATCTCTAACCACTAGCATGTTCATGTTCACAATGCTGTGGCTCTTTTGAAGCACACCTCAAAAGATTTCAGTCAGGTTGATCCCTGTAAATGACAACTCCATTTTTTTTAAGTTGACAAGAGCAAGCCAAGCTGTGTAATCAAAACAGGGAGCAGGATCCAGCAATCTGTGAATGCAAGGACTGTGAATCTTTCCCATATTCCCCTCCACTGAACTGTGGGGTGTTTTTTTTTAAATCTTGGGGAAGGCTGCATGGGGAAAAAGGAAAAATTGTTCCCAGATCTGTGCTGATGGAAGAGGGCAATTTCCCCTCCTTGAGACAGGCTCCTGATCTGTGTATTAGTCAACATGAGTCCTGTGGCCTCAAGAATAAACCTTCCTGGGGTAGGCTTACCAAACGCCGGCGGGGGAAATCTATTTCCTGGCAGGATGCGTGCCGCGGGGGACGGCTGTGCGCGCTGCACCCGCCGTCGCCAGGATGTGACGCTCCGCGTTACTCTGGCAACGGGGCTGTTTGGGTCCCGTTGCCAGGGTAACGCGGAGCGTCACATCCTGGCGACGGCGGGTGCAGCGCGCACAGCCGTCCCCCGCGGCACGCATCCTGCCAGGAAATAGATTTCCCCCGCCGGCGTTTGGTAAGCCTATCCTGGGGTCAGAAAGAATAGCTGGGGGGAGGGCAACACAGATTCATGACTTTAGTGCCTTCCACTGATTGATACCTGGATCCAACCCAGCATGATCTCTGCATCAATCATAACTGAGGACACAATGACCCAAAATGGAAATGCAGCTTTTAGATTTGTTCAGTCGGAAGCCATCTTGTTTGCTGATCTTATTGATTCAACACTGAATAGCAGCCCTACATATCCAGTTCACAAAATTCATTTTGAAAGCAACAAGGTATACATAAATAGAAGAAAGGGTATATTCATCAGTATGTATTCAAAGCTATAACCAAAACTAAAGCCATTCCCTGGCACGGTACAACTAGTAAGAATGGAGTAAGCATGACTGACTCATGGGAATCGAGTCTGTGGTAGCCTCATTCTCTGCAGCATTCCCAACCACCAGGGAAGTGGCATCTGTGACTACTGATTAGCAACATGAAGTTCTTACCATTGAGAGCACTGCCCTCCGTGTACCAAGTCAGGCTGAGGGTCTGGTAAGAACTATGTATAGTTTTTAAACATCATAGAGATACAGCAGGTCATCAAACAGCCCTTCATTTGCAGTTTAGTATACTTTCTTCCCAATAGGATTTGGAGTTAAAAGGAAATGACACAATTAAAAAAGTTATTTTCTTCTTTTTAACTTTGCTGCTGCTGCTGCACCACCACCCTTTGCCTTTTTCTTGGCAGATCCTTTGGGCTCTGGCTCTTTGCGCTTGGCTGAAGTTATTGAGCCAGTAACCTTAAAGAAGTCATCCAGTCGCCCCTGAGTGCTACCCTGGCGACTCTTGCTCAGTCTCTTGACCCCGTTACGGATCCTTTCTTCACTGAATTGCTTTTCTCCGCACAGGAAGCTGATGAGCCCCTCCTCATTGGGCTCACTCCACTTCAGCTCCACAGCTTCTGGGTCTACAACTTCAGGCTCCAAGAAAAGCTGTTGGGCCTCCCTGTGCAGCCAGTTCTCTGGCAGGGAGTACTTCTTGGCATCGATTTGCCGTACAATTTTTTCTATGCTCTTGTGCTGCTTGATGAGCTCCACGGCACGCTTGGGCCCAATGCCACGGATACTTTCACAGTAGTCACAACCTAGCAATATGCAGAGGTCAACAAACTCCTGCTGAGTCAGGCCCATGTCTTGAAGGATACGGCTCAGGTGGAATTCCTGAATGGGAAGCTTCTTAGCCTCACTGGCAGTAAGATGTCGCATCAGCACAGGGCTACCAAAGGTCAAACAGTCCATATCTTCAGTGGCTGCTGCATAGACCTTATTAGCTTTTACCAGGGCAGCACAGCTAGCTTCAGCCTCGCCAGGTGCCTCTACATACGGGATGCCCATCAGTGTCAGCAGTTTCTTGCACTCATCATTATGTTGCTTGGTCACCTTAACTAGCCTCTTGCTGAACTTTTCTACGTTTTCATCTTCTCCTGCCTCTTTGGCCTCTTCCAACTGCTTCTCTGCTTCAGCTCGGCGCTCAGTGCGCTTAGCCAGTTCACCCGATTTTAGCTGTGGAGGTTTGCCATCAAAGACATACACAGGCTTGATGCCATTTTCCACCATGCGGATGGTACGGTAGAACATGCCCATTAGGTGGCTGGTGGTCTCACCTTCCTCATTCTGCAGCATATCAGCTCCCTGCCGCACAGCAATAAGGAACTGGTAAATACTCATAGAAGCATCAATAGCCACTTTCCGGCCAAAATAACTCTTTATGTCATTTTCTCGAATAGCACCAGGAGCAACATCTGCAATCAGTTTGGCTAAACCGTGGATTCCCATGCTGGTAGCAAAACAGAAGCTGAAGACTGAAACCAAACTGGAGGTGACACGGCACGGGAGAAACCTGGGAAGCAAAACCACAGAAGATTTTAAGTGACAAAACTGTTCTGTTGTTAGATGTGGTATATCTTTTCATCAGTATTAACATTATTAATTTTAAATTACTAGGTTGATAACTGACATTGCTTAGGTCAATTTAAATATGTACTGAACCATAGATAAAATTCCTATCAACTGCATTATAGAAAGTTATGGGAGAAAATTTCTCCATACAGAATAGAATACTTATTTAGGTGGAAAAACAGAGAAATCCTAAACCAGACTACCAGGGACTTCTACTCAAGTCTAGGCAATGGGGCTGTAATGATTTCAAGTTATATGTGTGTGTTTCTTTAAATGGTTGGTGTCAGAAGAGCACACAGATTGGAGGGGGGGAGTGAAAGAGGGAGATAAGTGAGTGAGGTGATTGGTTGGAGACTGAGAGCTAGGAAGTGTGTGTGTGTGGAGAGAGAGGGCAGAATGTTCAGTTTGAAGTCTGAAGCTGTCAGTTGTAGTCAATCTACACAGAGTCTGAGAAGTCGTCTTCTAACTAGAATCATATAGAAATGCTGTGAAAGGCATTAAGATTCTAACGGAAGAAGAACATATACTTAAGGGGGCATATTAGGCAAAATCTAATATACTCAGAGTATTTTAAGAGTGTGAAAGGGGGAAAGGCTGACAGAGACCTGAGTAAAAAGGGCAAGATTTTACTGAGCAACTTAACAAAACCTCTTGTAACCAATACACTTCTTTTACCAATAAAGTTATATCTTGTTTATTGTTAACCCAGAGTCTTATTCTCAGAACCACAAAGCCCAATGAAGAAGCCTTAAAGCTTGGGCACAATACTGTGGGAAAGGTTAATTAAAGGCTGGCAGTGTCACAGGGGCAGACTGGGTTTTCCGTAAAAATCTGAATTAAAAAACATTCTGATTCAAACGTAAATAAGAGTAGCAAAGAAGCCAAATATAACATGTACAAGCACTGGGGATTGTCCCTGCTTCAGGCTCCACATTTAGCCCACCTAGCATGATCACATTGCCACACAAGAGCCCTAACAATACAGAAAAAAGACTGTATTTCCACAGAAAATTTCCACAGAAAAATACAGCATCAGAAACTTTTTCACCCCATTTTTTCACTCTCAGGAAAGTGTCCTTAGTATTGCACTGGTAATCATATTTGGTTTAGTAAAGAAGCAAATCTGACAGAGTTAGAGATCACCAGATAGTTGGGCAACTATTGTTAGGATCTGCACTTATAAAAAAGATTTCTTCAAAAAGGAAGGGGCAGAATCATCTAGACGGATAACCACTGTCTTTATTTTTTTCTGGTAAACTTGAAAATAACTTTCCTGGCCTCCTTGTATCTCTCCAAATTAAGTGGGGGAAAATGCTACAGACTTTTAATAAGAATTTAATAAAGGAGATTGATACTTGGTGTAAGCATATCAATTTCAGTGTTCCAAATCCAGTAAAACTTGAGGTGTAACATTTTCTAAAATGGGTTTGGGCAATTCTTATGTAATATAAAGACAACTCCTACAGCATTCATTCTCTGCATAAGGATTCGCCTTCACCCCTAGCATTTACACTCAATAATGCCAGCTGAGATTTTACCACTGAGAGCACAGAATGCTGCAGTGTGACACAGATTGGGGGGGGGGGGGTAGGGAGATCCCCTGTAAGTCTTCATGAGCTTTCAATGTATTTATTTTAATTGTTATTCATACCTGATTTTACATTACTGTGAGCAGTTATATGAGAATTTTTAGCTGGGAAGTACCAATGGCCGTAAGTCTGGTAGGGAGTGAGAGGTTAACCCAACCAATGCTCCCTCTAAGCCAGGGGTGTCAAACATGCGGCCCGGGGGCTGGATCAGTCCTCTGGAGGGCTTCTACCAGGCCCGTAGTCTTCTGCTTCTTTTTCCAGTTCTGCTGCTGCATCATCGTAGGTTTGCAGCTTATGGATACACACCTGAACAGCATACTCAAGATTGCAACAGCACAGACATTTTGATGCAATAATTCAGACCAAGAGGTGTCAGTTATCAGATGCTGTTAAATAAACAAAATATTGCAGGAGTGCTGATGTTTTAAGCATGTTTTTATTTGAAGTTAACAAAAATCCCTTCATCTTTGTACCCTTTATATCTCCGCTCCCTGGCATGACCGTTTATGACACGTGTGGCCCAGCCCAACAAGGTCTCATTTATGTCAGATCCGGCCCTCCTATTAACAAATGAGTTTGACACCCCTGCTCTAAGCTGTGGAGTCTCGTGAGCAATGTTCCCTCTAAGCCATGGAGTCCTGTGAGCAAAAATTCCACTTTGTGAACGACTGGCATCAAAGTTGTGAGCGAGCGACTTGGCTACTGCATAAATTACATTACTCTGGAGCCCTCCTTCATGAGCTAAGACAGAAATGTATGAGCCGGAGGCTAAAGAACTGTGAGCTAGTTCACACTCACTCAGCTTAGAGGGAACACTGCTCGTGAGCAATAATCCTACTTGGTGAGCTGCTGGGAAATTGTGAGCCAGCGCTTGGGCTGCTGCATCAATCAGTTTGCTCTCCGGAGCCCTCCTGCCTGAGTGTGAGCCAGAGGCTAAAAAGCTGTGGGAGCTGGCTCACGCCGACTCAGCTTAGGGGGAACACTGGTCCTCCTCACCGAGGCTCCCTCTCCGCTGGGGAGCAAAAACCCTCCTCGGCGAGCTGCCGGCGTTGAAGTTGCGAGCGAGGGACCGGGCCGCTGCGTGACTGAGCGTGAGCCGGAGGCTAAAGAACCGTGAGCGGGCTCACCCCGACTCAGCTCAGAGTCGTTCGCCATGGAGAAGAGAAGAGAGGGAGCCACGCGGGGTCTCTTCTGGCGTCCCCTCCCTTCCCACGCCACCCGCCTTCCGAAAGAGCACAGGAGCAGCAGCAGCCACGCTCCTCGGTCAGACCCACGCCAGCCAGCCAGCCAGCCCGCCGCCCTCCCCCAGTTCCCGCCTGGCCCCGCCACCCGCTCTCCTTACAGGGCTCTCCTCGCTCGCTCGCCCGCTCGCTCTCCTCCCCTCAGGCCGCCGAAACCGCCTCTCCCCTCCTCCGCCTCCTTGCTTTGGCGCCTTCCGAAATCCCGCGCCAAAGCCCGCGAGAAGGACGGGCCGAGGGTAGCCTGCTCCGTGGGAGATGTAGTTCGCCGCCCCGCCCCCCCGTCTTTCTCGCGCCCGGCCCGAGTGGACTACACTTCCCAGGAGGCTTTGAGCACGCGCTCCTGAGGCGGGGCGGGAGTGGGGCGGACGCAGTTCCGGGGGCGTCGGCCCAAGGAGGGGACGTGTCCTTCCGTTAGACCCGTCACCGAGGGAGCCGTCGCAGCCGACGGGGCATGGTGAGAGAGAGAGGGGCGGGAAGGGAAGGGAAGGGAGGCCCCCACCCCGTGTCTGGTCGCCCGTGTCCCCGGGGTCGCGGCGGGGCTCCCCCCGGCCGTTGCCCCCCTCCCCCCCCCTCCGGGGTCCTTAACCGCCCCCCGCCTTCCTCCCGGTTTCCTCCAGGAGCTCGAGACGATGAGCAGGTACACCAGCCCGGTGAACCCGGCCGTGTTCCCCCACCTCACCGTGGTGCTCCTGGCCATCGGCATGTTCTTCACCGCCTGGTTCTTCGTGTATCCTCCTCCGCCCTGCGGCGCCGGCCGGGCTCGGGCTCAGGGCTCGCCCCCAACCCCCCCAAGCCCCTCCCTCAGCGGCGCGGCCCCGGGAGCCAAGACCCTCCTCCTCCTCCTCCTCGGCGGCCTGGGAGCGGCGAGCGAGGGGGGGGGCGCTGAGTCAGTGTGAGCCAGCTCACAGTTTTTTAGCCTCCGGCTCACACATTTTTGTCTCAGCTCAGGAAGGATGTGGCTCCAGAGCAGACTAATGTATGCAGCAGCCAAATGGCTCGCTCACAACTTCAATGCCAGTGGCTCACAAAGTAGAATTTCTGCTCACAAGACGCCACAGCTTAGAGGGAGCATTGGTAGGGAGGCCAGGGCTAGTTCGGCCGTTGGGGGGTAGGCCTCAACCCCCCCCCCCCCGCGTCCTGAGCGGGCTTCTCAGCTTTTCGGTTTAGCTTAACAATCTGTTCCACTTCGGTCAGCTGTCCGTAGAAGGGCTGCGCAACAGCGAGGGACGATTTTGCGGAAAGTCTGGCGTTCTGCAGTCCGGAAATGTGTTTGTTCGCTGATTTTGCTGTGTCTGATTTCCTTGTAAATACGCTCACGAAGGTGCATGTTCGCACCTTGGAGCCATCAAAAATAATCTGGCTCTTTCGCTTTGCAATTTCCCCAGTATAAATGGTGGTGATTATCAGAGTTCCCTCTAAACTGTGGAGTCTTGTGAGCAAAAATTCCACTTTGTGAGGTACTGGCACTAAAGTTGTGAGCGAGCGATTTGGCTGCTGCATAAATTAGTTTGCTCTGGAGCCCTCCTTCCTGAGCTGAGACGAAAATGTGTGAACCGGAGGCTAAAGAACTGTGAGCTAGCTCACACTAACTCATCTTAGAGGGAACACTGGTGATTATAGTCTCCCCATTTTTTCCCCCTGGGAACCAAGAAGGAGAGAGTTCATGCTCATTGTATCCTCCCCTTGCTTACCTGAATGGTGTCAAGAATACATAGAAACTTTGTGGCCAAAATTCTGTTGATGACAACACTTTTCAGTAGATGCTTTCAAACTGGTGTACAGTAGTTAAAATAATAACTATAAAATATTAAAAATGAAATATTAAAAACAATTTATCTTATTAAACTTATGAATTGCTCACCTGCAATTTATTTATTTGTCTTATTAAACAAATTTATTAAACAAATGAATCGCTCACTCTGGGCAATTTACAACTTTAAAAACATCTAAAATACAATTGATAGAAATAAAATTATAAAATTAAAATGTTGATGAAGTTTCCCTCCTTCCTCACTGTTGTCCTGGGCAGTTCTAGCAGTTTGGATTATGGTGGTGCCAAGAACAAGCTCTTCCTGGAAGCTTCTGCCCCCAGTTTAATCCCAGATTGGAACAGATAACACTTGGAGTGTCTCCTACCACAGCTAAGACAGCAAAATCATAAATTTAAGGCCCATTGGTGGCAGATTTTGTTCTTCATGTTTGGGGACACCCCCCAAAAAAGCTTCCTGTACTGGTAGCGTAGTTAGAAGTCATTGATGAAGGACATGTGTTCGAGGTTAGGCAAGCAGTTCCTTGAAGTGGTGAAATATGCTTGAGCAAATAATTTTATTTATTTATTTATTTATTTATTAGGCTTATATCCCGCCCTTCCACATGGGCTCTGATCTGTTGCTAGATCCGTTGAATCTGGAGGATAGGCGTGTAAGAACTGTTGGTTTTTATTGTTGAAGGATAAAGTTGACACTCTTTAATTCCTTTTTTATTCCGACATTTGCTCCTTTAGGATGAAACACAGAACATATATGTTGTCACCGTCCCTGAGCCTACAATGTGGGGAGGGCAGGCTATAAATCTAATGAAATAAATAAATATAGTTAAGCAGGTTGTTGAATTTTCATTGTGCTTGTCAGGAAAAGCTTCATTTGCTTAATCATATGATGAAGGGCCAAGTGGCAAGGAAAATAAAAAGATGGCAATTCTGTTAGAACATGGCATGGTATCTTTAAAAAGATCCTTTTTATCCCAGTGTGCTTTTCCTGGACTTTCTCTGATCTGAGCTGTTTGGTTATGGCTTTAATGAGTATTTCAGCTATGAAGTAACCTCCACCAAGTACACACGGGACATCTACAAGGAACTGCTTATTTCCCTGGTGGCTTCACTATTCATGGGTTTTGGCGTACTCTTCCTACTACTGTGGGTTGGTATCTATGTGTGACAGTAAAGCAGGAGCTGTTTCAGGTAAGAAAACTAGGATGGAGAGGTAGAATACACATTTCATAGTTACTGTGAGGCTGTTTAGTAGTCATTAAATACACTTTATTCTATTTTATATTTATAAAGTTTTTGCAGGAGCTGCATATCTTCAATAGCATTAGAATAATTTCTGACACTGCAGAGCAGCATGGGTCTCTTTTCTTTTTGAGAAGGGACACCTAATAGAAAAAGTGCATTCCAAATGGATATTATTCTTCCTCTGCAGTTTACAGGTCTTTGCTTCCTTGAAGTGTAAGGAGACGCTTCAAATCTAGAAAACCACTGGAGTCTGTTGAGTTCCAATCCTATGCTCTAAACTAATATAGAGCTCACATCACTGTTACTTTACAATAAGTGTATCCATTCCTCTATCAAATACGAGCAGTAGCTCTCCTTGCTTATAGAAGCAGGCTCTTCCCCTAATGCTGTATTACATCATGCCAGAAGATGTGTGCTGGTTTGCTAGAAAACAAATAACTCCAGGCACAAGTAGCTGTTCCAATGAGAGGGACCAGGGTGACACTGTTGTTGTCATGATGCAGCGTCCAGATAAAATACTACTGGGTTGGTTTGGCAAGAGAGTGGGTTGCGTTTTGGGTTTATTTCCATTATAATAGCTATTGAATTTGGGACAGATTTGCTGAAAGAAAAGGAGGCATTTTTGGTTGAAAAGTTGGTAACCTCCCCCCCTTCTACTTAATTTGAATGTACTTGAATATGATTGTATTATCAAGATACTTTTTCTTGGAGTTCTTCTGCGCTACCAAACAAGTGCCTTTTGGACCTTGTTCTACCTTGCATACATGCTGATGGAGGGAACAAAAGTGGGGGATTTTTTTTTAGAAACTCAGCATCCCCAAAAATGAGTGCATGAAAAGTATCATAATAAAATATGCTAGATGAACTGTTCAAGGGAAGGTGAGTTAGCATTATCAAACCTATAACTGCATAACATACAGGAGTTAATATATGCAGAAATTCCAGAAAACTTTGAAAATTCCTAAATATTTGGCCACTGATTACTGCTGACTTTGTCGCAGTGTACTTGTCTTCAAAATGGGATCTTAATGGCTACTGAGAATAGAGTGTGGCTTATTCTGTGGCAAGGATGAACATACATTCTATGGAAAATGTGACTTTGAGGAACAAAACAAAGGCTGTCTACCCTGACAACTCTTGTGGACTTGACAGTGTGTGAATTCTTGTGGGAAGGATCTTCAAGGAAAACAGTGCTCCAGTATTTGTGCGACAAATTTCCCACAGGAAAATATTTGGTCCTCTGCTATTTAACAGTCTTTCTGCCATTACAGTTTAGCAGTGTTTTCACCTAACAGCTCACTTTTTGCTTACAGTTGGGATAATTTGGAATCCTGCATATAAAGGTTTGCAGGCCTCCTAAGTGTGGGATCACTATGCCCCTATATGTTGCCACTGTCTACTTTAGCTCCATAAGCCAAGAATTTCATTAGGAGTTAGCTCTGTGTGTATCTGATCATCTGAGTTGGCAACTTCTTTGATTCTTTCATAACTATTTAAGGTGTCAATCTCATAGGGCAGATAACGGGAACAAGGCCAATAGTTGTAACCCCTGGGTTGGTTTGTCCTAAATCTGAATTGAAACTATTCCAGCCTGTCTGATTCTTCAGTTAATCTTTAGTGTAATAATGCCATATCTGTTGCCTTGAGCAGATTCATATGTAGGTGTGTTGTTAAAACATTCCTCTGTAATGTCAAATTTGGGCTCACAGGCAACTTCTACAATATTAAGGGTGATGCTATCCTATGAAATGAGACCCATAGAATAAGTTTGTCACAATGAAAGCCTTAGTCTTCATGATGCCTCTGGAATATTCGTAACATAACTGATGCACTGAAATGTTATGGGAAGCAGGAGGAAGAGGAGCTAAATGGACTGGTTTTGAACTGGAGGCTGAAGTCGCTTTTATTAACGGCTGGTGTTGCTGTAGTTTTTTGCTGCTCTCACATTCATCCGCAGTGTCCCTTCCATTCCTTTTGGCTTAGTTTACTTCTTCCCAAGTGCTTGGCGATCCAAAATCCAAATAACACTACTTTAAAAAGATCCCCCCCCCATCCAAGCTATTATACTTTGGATTTGGAAAGAAAGCCTGTGTCATTCTGCCATAAGTCTGTGTAGGAATCTGTTGTTTGGAATGATACAGGACAGATTAACATAGTTCCTGATTGAATCTCGCCATTGGAGTTTAATTCAAATCTCCTAGGTCTTCATTGAATCTCGCCATTGGAGTTTAATTCAAATCTCCTAGGTCTTCATGTGAGGATTCAGTTTGAGTATTTTGATTCTGCATATTCAGATTATGGCTAAAAAAACATGTTACCAAGTCTTCACTAAAAATGCATCCTAAACATGTTTCTGAACAGTAGACCCAGACGAAATTCTTACTACAGTGTTTTTGTCTCACCACCAGCTGAAACGATTTGCATGAATGTGTGAGGTGTGCAGGGTTTAAATTCCCCCAAGTTGAAAATCAGAGAGCAAAAAAATGGAGGATGAAGTGCATTATAAAATACACTTGCTATTCCTTGCCCAGCTTTATCTAATTACTGCTGACTCTGAGGGGGTGTGTGTGTATACACACAAGCGCACACACACACAAAATGTTTTTGTCAGCCTTTTGCCATTAAGGTATGGCAGTCTGCATAATGAAGATAAAGGAAGAAGGGGAAGTATCGTTCATGAAAACAACAGCCAGCAACTAACTAGAGCACAGAACCCCCCAACTTACGACAGCCTTGTCTGGCTTCTGAGATGGGTGTTCCCTCACTTTTTTGGCTACAACAGCAGAGTGTTAGTAAGTTGTGCTGTAATCGTATGTTTAGAGGATTTGATCTTTTTTTTCTTTTCAGGTCCCGGGTAGAAGCCTTACTGAAGCTCCTTTTTCTATTTTTGTACTTAATGTGGCTCATCACAGGGGAGGAGTATATAACCCTGACACACGTTTGTAATCCAAAGGGCCCTAACATCGAGCTCTAATAAAGTTGGCTGTGTGATGTGCTGAAGTTTGCGCTCCTTTTTGTTCTTTGGGATCCCTTTAGTACTGTGATGATCACACTTCAAGAATGAAGTCAACTTCCTGTGTCTGTGTCTGCAGAGTGTTGTACAGGTCCCTTCTTAGCAGCAGCCTAAAAGTGGAGTACTTCAGGTATGGATACTGACCATCAAATCAAAGGCAGCAATGTATTTGTTCCAGGTAAAGTTTGGCTACAGCCCCCACTGAACATATGTGCTATATTTAGTTTTAACTTTTATGCATAAATAACATGAATTATTGTGCATACGTTTCTATTTCATATACATTGTAGCTGTTGCTGTTTTAGCAAGCAGCAAAACGTTAGCAGCAGCTCAATACAGTAAAAGCTGCATTATCTGATACGTGGTTAACCAGCGTGTGGTTAACCAGCGTGTGGACTTGCTGCTGTCTGTCCTCAAGGGAGAGGAGGTGGTGGCTCTGACTTTCCGCCATCGGCAACACTGACTCATAAGAAGCACCGTGGCCAATATCCCTTGGTCCCTGCCCTGATTTGAGTGTGCAGCAGACAGGGATGTAAAGGCCAGAATGCATCGCGGCCTTTTAAATCACCACCTGCACAGCTGATCAGTGGTATGGTGGGGGGGGGGCAGTAAGCACCTGACAGCTCGAGTCAGTTCAACTGTGAAACTTTCAGTTGGTAGTGATTATAATTAAAACTTCTTTGCTTTATAAGTCCCAAAGTAGGGGGGGTGGGCTGAAGCAGTAAACAAATTTTGAAGATAAAAGATTTTAATGCCTTTCTGGTACACGTATGGTAGTATTTGAGGAGCTGCCAACATATGAAACATTTACTGTAGTGAAATGTCCAGAGGGATGAAGAATAAAGTTTTGTTTAGACTTGGATAAGGCCTTTGGTAGCTAAAAATACTCTAGGTTATTTTGCAGAGGGACAGACATTATGGGCCCTTTCCAAACAAAGTTGCACTGAATACTACAATCCTATGTGTTTTTAAAAAGGAACCCCCCCCCCCCTTGCAAGAAAAGCATAGGCTTGAGTTCCTACCCCATTGAAATATTAGGGCTTTTAGTCCATCGTGTCTTAATGTCCCTGGAGTTTATTGTGACTTAAGGGGAAAAATGGTAATTGTCTTGCAAGACTGAGGAAGAAGCCACGAGCCAATCTTGGATACAAAGTAGTAGACTTATATTTATTTATATAGGTACATATCTTAGAATAAAAGTCTAGGTAAGCAAAAAAAAAAATACAGGAACACTGAAACCCAGCACTCCGGAATATAAATATAAATCAGAAAAGCAGTATGAGAAAAGGCTTAGCTAAGCATCCTCCACCAAAGCAAGACTGTAAAACATCATTTAAAATAATACTAAGTATAGGACTACGAAATTGTGGGCAATGTACAGATTAAAGCTGTGACAGCAACATTTAAACAGAACAGATTAGTGCTTTATCTTCCTTAAGGCCCACAGTGGCAGTACATATCTTTATTTACAGGCTTTAAGCTTTAATAACAAAGACAAGAAAGGCTTTGGAATTTTCCTTCAAGAATATTCCCAACCCCCCAGAAAAGCCACGCTCTAAAACCTGGCTTTATATCCACCCTTGCTTTTCCTTCTTGTCCCCTGACATGTCTAGAAAGACAGAGCTTCATGTTCCAGTTCCAAGGAAAGAAAACTTCCTGCTAAGCCAGAAGCACTAACTCAAGAGCTCCCTCCGTCAGACAGAAGGTCCAGTTGTTAACCTTTCACTGTTGCATTTTGGGAGAATAATATGATGCTAATGAGAACACATCTCGAGAAAGGCAAAAAGGTGAAGACACTACAGCTGGTCAGTCCAGCTCAGATACCCTCTTGAGACCAATTAAGACACAGTTAATAGTTTACTATGAAACTCCACTTGTCTCTGTCCCCCTTCCCCCCCCCCCCCCCCCCGTGAAGCACTTTGGGATAAAAAGGTGCTATATAGGTACATTAAGTAGTTGTACAATTTTAAAACAATAAGTCAATTAAAACTGATGTAAAGAGCACTACTGTTATCATGGATTAGGCATGTCAGATTCTCAGATATAAAAATGATGTAAATTTACCAATGAAAATGTTTGACTTATGTACAGCCCTTTTATCTGATTCCACCTAATAAACTGGGAGAAGAAAAGTGATTGGAACATTTACTCTGGATGTCACAATATCCTGCTGCCCTCACTCTGATCTAGAAAGGTAACACATTGTGGTTGGTTGGTTAGATTTTCCTATGAACTGGGGAGCAGGCAACGGGATAGTCAGGTCAAAATGTGAATGTCCTCACTAGATTGTTGTTTTTTTTAATCCAGTGGTTCTTCACCGCTGGTCTCTGGGTTATTTTCTGCCAGCCCATCGTTGGGGAGACTTCTAAACCTCCTGCTTGGAAGGAGAGCTTTATCCTTCCCTCCACCACTAAATCATGTCTTGCTGAGAGGATGAACATTCTGATGAAAAGCCCCCCCCCCATCATTATGATTCCGTGGTCACACAACTCTTAACAGCACAGAAGCCAGTGCAGCTTTACTTGTCTTGTTACTGGGGCAATGCCGTGCCATGGCAGGGAAGCTCAGGCAGCTGCCCTTCCACATCGGTGTTCACATTCAGGGAAGTGAGTTAATGTTGGGACGGGGAAGATCTGCACCATGTGTTCCTCTTGTTCGTTCCCAAACTTACTGTGTTATTGGGAGACATAGGAACGAGGGGTACTGCAGCTGGGTGCAGCTTGTTTGAAAACAAAAGGTGACTGGCATACAAGACTCCAGAGGGGGAAGCAAAGGTTTTTTTCTGCTTAGCCACTTTCACTGCTTGAGGATGGAGAGCTCAAGTTTGGATGTTGGATGTATGTCCAGTGAACAGATATTCAGTATTAGATTATCAAAAACCTAGGAGGAGAAAACTATAGTTTGAACCAGAGTTGTACTGTAGAAGGCACGTGTGCTGGTGATGCACAGGAGAATATCCATCAGTGATGGCTGTATGCAAAATAAGATCTGACAAGTCTGTGTCAGACCAACCGCAATAACAGATGAGGACAGTGGAATTAATTGGGTGGCACAGCAGACTTCATAAACTAGTCACATAACCATTTGGAACAGAACCTTGACATGTCATGCAGGAATAACCTTGAAGTCTTAGCTACTTGGTAGGTTTATCTCAAAAGAGATTAAGGTTAAAGGAATTCACCCTGACACACACACACACACACCACTGGCAGGTAGACAGTCCAAAACTTGACTGTGGTTCCTCAAACATTTCCTTTAATTGATCTTGTACTAGACACAACTAAAAACATGCCTGACTGGATAAATTTTTGGCCTGTTTCAGTAAGTGCTGAAAAGAAAGAAAGAGACATCTACCATTACCTATTTTATCTCTCTTATTCTGAGACTAAAAATAGGAACAATTAATTGGAGTGGGGGAGAAGGTATAAAGATTCCAAAGCAATTCACACAGGAATGTTCAAAATAAAGAGTTTTCCTTTTTCTAAGATGAGTTTACCATTCACAGGCAATACCAGGACAATTTAGGAGTAGGATGAAGAACAGAACAGGAAATTATGTTTATGGTCCCCAAATGGAGGTTGCTAGAGATCATGGAGAAAATAGAAAGGAGAGAAGAACAGACTGAGTAGAGAGAAAAGCAGAGGCCGCAGCAGGTGGCTGGGAAAAGTGAGAGTGGAAGAGGCCCTTGTCTATTTAAAATTACTGTTGGTGGCAGGCTGTTTTGCATTTCTCATTTGTTATTTGCCTACAAGGCCATTTTCATAAGTGACATTTAAATTGGCTTTCATGAGTCCTGCATTTATCATTCAAATGAAAATGGCTCTCCTTTCTATCCTGCTTTAAATGATATCCATTGATTATACATTCCAGTTTAAATGGTGTTCAAAACCTTGAGCAGGGACAGAAAGGGCAAAAAACTGAACCTTAACACTAAAATTCAGAACCTAACAAAGGTTAGTAAAATTTAATTTCCTATTTTTTATCTTTTACAGAAACTTGTTTTCTGGTTTATATTGAATTTATATTTTGTATCCATTCTGATTGTGTCTACATGATTGCATTATATTTTTATAGCCATCTTGCCACTCAATTTTTTGACCTCTGAGATAGGCCTATGCAGGCCGAAACTCGTCAGGTCAGGTTTTTAAAGCCCGTGTGTATTGCTATGTTATTTATATAGTTGATGTGAATGGGCCCTTGTATATGGTTTAAATTTGTACTTAATAAATACATGTAGCCTTTTCTATATATTTTTTACATTTAGTTTTTAATATTGGCCCTCTTTTTCACATTTTACTAACCTTTGTTAGGTTCTGAGTTCAAAACCTTGAACCTTTACATAATAAACTGATCAGACTGCTCATTTCCTCTGAGCAACAGTACCAGCCAGTGGTGAGTGCTAGTAATTGCACCTTTACACGCTTTGGAGCCTCATTCTCTAGACCCAGTTGGGTATTTATCTTCCCAATGTTCCCTTCCCACCTTTGCTGCTCTCAATGAATGCTCATGCCATAGTGTCAACCGTCTGTTTCCTTATGTGTATGCTTATGCAGCATTACAGATGGCACGAACAAAAACTAATGTAACTTGTATGTTACAAAGCTATATCTGTTTTACACCACTTGACGTATCATGCCCACCTCCCAAGAATCCTGAGAATTCTAGACTGGTAAGGCTGTTGAGAATTCTTTGTTAGAGATCCCTAACTTCCATCACAGAACTATGGCTCCCAGGCTCATTGGGGAAGAGGGAAAAACCAGTTTAATGTTGTAATACAGATGTACTCTAGAAGCAACAATAGCTTGAACTGGTAATGGTTTTGGGAATTTAATTAATATTAATAAAATTACATCTCCATCCAGGCACCACTGCACTTTTTAAACAAAATCAATTCTCCCGGTCCAATACGTTAACACATTTACCTCTAGCACGACTATGATCTGGTATAAAGCTGGGTTTAGACTATAGCCAAAGGCAGGAATACTTACACATCTGTGGATTCTGTTTTATAATTTGATTTAGGATCAGAGCAGTAGTCGCAAGTTGCTGACTTGCTTCCTATGTTTTCCTTCTCCACCCCCTCACCTTCCTTCTCCCTACAGCTGATCTCAGCCAAAAGTCTAGATAGCCCATTTTATGAAGAATCAGAGCCTGACTTTGCACGGAGGGCAGACGCCTGATACACAGGATGGTGCTTGTACATCTGCCGTGTCTTAGCCTCCTTCTAGCACCTGACACAGAGTCCAGGTGCAGGCTAGTGCTCAGCACCAGCCCACTTTGGTTTCCTATAAGACAGAAGTACTTCAATAATCAAGAGAGCTGATGATTTTTTGGGGAAAGAATATATCAGTGGTTTAGCAAGTTAAGACCCTGTAACAGTAAGTTACTCAAAATACACTCAGAATTCCAAGGCACCCCAAGGCTTGGAGTGAAAACAGCATTCTGCCCGCTGCCTGGCAGAGACCCCTTGGGGATCAAAAAGATTTTTCAGTCTGTTTCTTGTCAGCATAGAGTAAAACTCTTCCAGGAGCCTCTTCCTCTTCAGCCTCTGGCACCAGGAGCTATATGTCAAGCTCAGGCTTTGCCATGTGCTCTTTGTCACAGACCCTTGGGATGAATGCATAGTTGATGCTTCCAATGCATGGAATGATCATCCAGTGTGTTTTACGACATCAGAACAGAGTTCAGTGGCAAAGCCCAGAGGCTGATTTTCTCCAGTAGACTTGGAGCTAGCTTCCTTAGAAGCATCTTCCTCTAACCCTGAAAAAGAAGGCACAGTAGAAGCAAGCTGCCTGCTTGAGATCTGCAGAATTGCTTTTGTGAGGTTCTTCAGGTCTGTTCTCCCTGGCGTGTAATATATATGGCAAAGCAGAAAGCCAGAGGGAAATCCTGTTGCTTCCCAGTTGTTGCTGCTGTTTGAAATTTATCGGCAGTAACGTGTTCCAGAGTAATCAGAAACTCTGCAGAGCATAAATTTAGAGAGAAGCAGCTAACTGTTAGCCAGACACTCCAGTGTATGACTTGTATAAGATTCTCCATAGTAAGAATTCCAGTGTTTTTGGCCTGAGAACTGGGGTCCCAGCATCAATGAGAAATATCTATCTACTTCACTGGCACTCTGGGTATTGAAATCAGTTCCCAGGTAAGCTGCATTCTGAAGTTCTGAAGTGTGCAAAGAGATTCAGGCACAATCCAGTGTAGCACAGTCAAATCCAGTGTAATAAGGAGAAAAAGGAAGGAATGCCAATAGCCCATTAAAGGCCTTTGTCGTACATGCAACTGGCATGTCCAGAAAAAAAAATACCATATGCCTCAATGTTTCAAAGTTTTGCTAGTGGCAAAATTCTGTGTTCCCCAAAGGTTGCATGGGATTCTAGTGTTTAAGCCATCCCTAGAAAGAAGCAAACCAGCTCACAGCCCCAAGGGGAAGGGGCCTGCAGTTCAGAGGCTCCAGGACAGGGCTTGAGGTTCGTTAGAAGAGAACATTCAGTCCAAAGGGTCTTTCAGCTCCTATTGAAAGGGAAGTGGTTCAATGAAGACTCACTCACAGAGCCAGTAGAACTGGAAGTAATAGTCAGTGAAGAGAGAGCCCCTTTGCTCCACAGCAGTACTACAGTTAGCTTGGCCCTGTGGTGAGAGAACAAAAGTCAACATTCAAGGGAAACTTCCACAGAAGGATGACTCATCTTTACAGTCAATAAAATGACATAGTTGTAAGTAGCACCAACCAAAGGTACACTGTGTCCCCAGGAAGAGGGGAGGGTTAGAGCAAGTGCTTGGATAGTTTTGTAGGGTATTCAATTAAAAGGCTTCTGTAGGAAAAGCAGACAGAACCGGAGTTTGAATTCAAAAGCAAGCAGAAAGTGAACCGATGCCTAAACTAAAATATCCCCTACGTTTCTGGAGTCTAAGACTGTGTCCCCGTTGATGGGTGGGGGTAGTTCAATCAAACCTGCAGCAATGGCCCCAACTTCAACAAGGAAAGTCCTGAGGGATCCATCGTGTCCAGGCTTAGTTTCAGATTTATCTTGCTTTGAGCAGGGGCACATGTATGCATGGTGATGCCATTGTTCTGTAGAGGTTAAACTGCCCTGTGTGTATGTGGGAATCTACACTCATGAGGCCATAGATAAAGGTCAATATCTGAGGAAAAAATTAAATCCATCAGACATACTGGGGATCACTATTTTTATTAATCCATTTTGATATGGCATTTGCCCTACTGTATATTAGGACTAAAACAAATGTTCACTGCAACACGGCTTAGAAGTACCACCTTCAATGCGATTTTATTTATCCACCACTTAACCCCTTTTTATTCATCCACCAATAGGCAGGATGGAGTAAGAGTCTGTTCACAGCATCCCAGTGTCTGTTTCCAGATGTGGCTTTTATCTGCACACTCATCTACTCCTACTTGGCTCCCGAGTTCTCAGTTCTGTGCTCCACTGGCTAGCAATCAGAATTCAAGCTTGGCACAGTGTGGTGATTTAAGTACTAATTACTCTGTTGACTCAGAATTGCTCCTATCTCCTGAAAGATGAAATGAGTCCAGCATGCATGGCAAAATATGTGTTGTTATACTCACAGGCCTGGCAAATCGGAAGTGGTAAGTGAATTCCTGGAATGGCATCATCATCACAGGCCAACGGTATGTTGTTCCCTACAGAGAAGAAGAAGAAGAAACCACACTTTCACTGAAACAGAAGCTACTGCAGTTAACACCTACTGGTTTCCTTGGCTGGTACCAGATGGAATCTGCACATTCACTTTCTGATCCTTTCCCTAAGAGGGAAACAGACCACAAAGTGCATTATTCCAGCTTCTGTTCCCAGTAGGGGTGCCTCCCACTTGGAAAGAATGAAAACAATAAAAGGGAAATAAAATAAAAAGGGGAATAAATAAAAGGACAGAGATAATGGAGAACAGAGACACAGAGGAATTAAAATCTTGCTGAATATGAGAATATTCAGTTCACTGATAGAATGAGTTGTTGTTTTCCTTGTCCACCATAACAAACACCCTTCGTGGGTGACATAGCATGGTCTCTTCTCTTGCAGGATTGCTCTACCTTCTTGAGAGTAGGTTGGATCTAGCCAGCTTATTGACTGAACTCCATTTTTTATTCCAGCTCCTGTCCACATGGCTTTTGTATGTGTAAGTGTCAGACTCTTCAACAAACTTACTCTCAACAACACTCTCTAGATAGGGATTTGTTTACTGAGAGATATGCATGTGTCAAGCTAAGACCTGTCGTGTCAGAACTTCTTCGGCACCAGTTCTGGAATTATACATGATTCAAACAAGCCCCCCCCCCCCCCCCCGTGACCCGTCCAATCAATCCATCCATTCAGCCCGCTGAAACCTAGTGAACACTGTTAGCCCTCTCCCCCACCCTCCACCTGTGAACTTACAGCTATATTATCCATGACAGGCTGGCTAGCCAAGACAAGCATTCAGGGTCGTTCCACATACTTCTCATTCAGGAGGTCTCTTAAGAAAACAGTTCCCAAGCAGTTAAGCAGAGCAGTTTCTCACACACTCATTCTCTCTCAGATCTACCCCCCCCCCCACGCCGAGAAACAAGTCATGAAACTGGAACACACAAAATCCATGGCAAATGAGGCTCCGAGTTTGACAGTAAGTTCCATGATCCCCAGGACTGAATTTTTTTGGCAGTTCTGTTTTCACCAGTAGAATAGCTGGTTGGATCCAACCTCGCATTTTATTAAGAACTTTTGCTGGTATTGCCCACTTCCTGATCTGTCTCTACAGAACCCTTCCCTAGGAGACTCACAAAATAAATACACTGGCTACACATGTATTTCTCCAAGATTATACAATTAAACATAAGGGCCATGTTGTTGGTGACCCTACCTGGGTGTCTGTTGTATCAGTGAAGCTGCCCACGTTCTCTATGGTGTGATGACATGGGTTGCTGGAGATGAGACCGCAAAGATAGCCAGACACAGTAGAGGATGCACTAGAGAGAGAAAAGGGAACAGAAGACTTCCAGCTTAAGACAACGAGGTGAGCAGTTTTGACACTGACACTTCTTAATTTTCCCCACAGTCCATGCTTTCCCAAGAATCCTTACTCACTTCATCTCCAAGGTAAGGTTTGTGTTCACGGCAGTAAACTTGCTGATGGGGATGCGGTAGGTAATGTTTCCCATCCTATATAGACAGAAACAGAACATCTATATATCTAATCGCCAAGATGCCCCCTCTGTGCAGATATCTAAATCCGCACATCGGCAGGACATTGAAGGTAAACAGATTTTCTTGCACACTTGGGGCACTCCCCAGGTGTGCAGAAAAATCTGAAATGTTGGAAAAACTATATCGGGGATACTTAAATCCCCCCCAAAATGCATTCCCTGCTGTCATGGCCCTGGCGGGTTGCCACCTTCTGCCACCACCACCCTGGAATTCGGGACCCTTGAGAAGGCCCAGGGTACCTTCCCAAGCCCGTTCAAATTGCCCCTTTGTAGCCGAGAAATATAAGCGTGATGACCAAGGCAGAGAACTATTAAACAGAAAGGGTTTATTATTACAGTACTGGGGCAAGGAACACAAGACAAGGTTCTTTAAAAGCTGTAACAGAATCTAATGCAGCTACCTATTACTCCTAACTGGCTGCTACTTCCAGGCCCACAGCCTGCCAGGCTACGCTACCTGTACTCACTCCAGTGAGGGATATTTTTCTCTCACCAGACCAGCCTGTCCCCTCTGTGAGACCAGACAGCAGATGAGACGAAAGAACACAGTCCCCTTCAGTTTAGCTAGGTGTGAGGAAAGACCCCCATTTTCCACATTTAACAGCTTAAGACAGACTCTCCTCACAGAATCACTGCACTCTGATTGGCTATAACCCACTCTAAGCATTATGGGGATTGTAGGCTGTCTGCTTTCTACTGCCAACAGGTCTCTCCTGGGACCAGACCACACTAGGCCTTGCTCCCAGTCCTGCACAGATCATGACACCTGCGCATGTGCAGAGAATGCACTTACCACTGGAAACTGGCGGCTGGGCTCGCCGCCACTGACGGTGTCGGGGGGAGCCTTGGCGGGCCCGGTGGCTGGGAGCTGCACAGAGTTTGCCGCCATGGCTGCTGGTGGGAGTGAGAAGCCTTGGAGGGCTGGGCGGCCCCGCCTGCTGGGCTCACCTGCGGCCACCTCCTTCTCTTCCTCCATGCAGGGCTCCTGCTGCTTCAGCGGGCTGGGCACCCAGGAGCCGCGGGGAATACTCCCCCCCCCCGGTGATATCATAGGTCCCCAAGGAAAAAGAACTAAGACTTGAACACTCTGTTCACAGTTTGCAGAAGGAATTCTGACTCCTGTGATTAACGGCCTAAGGCAAAGTTTAAAGCCTACTTATAACATCCCCCCAGGTTATTTAGGGAATCAAAGATAATGGCTCGAATCCCACAGAGGTTTTCGACAGGTGTGTGTGTGAATTCCTCCCTCACATGGCAGACATCTGACTCCTCCCTCATGCTGTTTCTGGGGGCCCTGTCCTCTAGAAGCAGCATTTCGAGGGGCATTTGGATTGCCATGGAAGAGGGAGGCAAAAAAGTCATGCTGTGCAGATGGAAATTCTTTCTGTTTATGGAAATTTCCTGTGGATCCAAGCCACTAGCAGAAATAATTCCAGTTCAATCCAGTGAGATCCTAGGATATTTTTCCTTAAGAACTGCCGAAACTAAGAGAACATATCAAGTTGCTTTAAACTAGAAGCCCCACTGAGTAAACAAATTAACTGGAAATGCTTGGGGCTGAACTGGGGATTTCCTGCATACAAAGCAGGCAGTCCAAGCGGCAACCCTGTCTCCAATCAGTTTTTAATCTCCAGCCTCTGCCTCATAGGCCATTTGTTCCAGTCTGAACTCTCTGGCCCTCGGTCACTTTGAATGAAGATTTTAATCACCTGCCATAAAAATGATATATATACATTGTCATGATGTGACCTCTTGGAAAGACCACCAGCAGTTTTTACACTACCAAGATGACCATATTTTTTTTAAAGGATTCTAGTCTTCAAGAAGCAGTCATCTTAACAGAGGCTATTGGCGGGACACCACACTGCTGCTCATGCTCACCTGCATTCATCACCAGCAGCACAGTTCTGGGGTGTGATGGCCACATTCGTCTCCAGCAGTGAAACAGACTGCAATACAAGAGCCACTCCTATGGATGGGGGGGAAAAAACTCTCCGTGAGGAAAGGTCTCTGCCCAGGAGCTAAGGCAAAGCCCCAGGTGTTCTGAGGACTTCGGGAAAGACTGAATGTAATTTGACGTCTGTTCCTTCCTACCAAGCTTTGTTGCTTACACTGGGATTACATGTTCATATTCTTTTTTTTTTTAATATAATTTTTATTTTATTTTCTACATACATTCTTCAAAACTACACACTAACTAAAATTACAGCTAAACGACGACCATATATGCTAGTAATTAATATCTTAAGTCAAAGCTTTTCTCTTATTCAAGTTAAGAATAAACATTCTATACTGTTATATCGATATGCAAAAAAAAAATTATTGACCATGCAAGATTATATAGTGTAATATAAACATTTCTTCTGAAGTTTGAGTTATTTTCTGCCTTTCCTTCCCGTCTTCTTGCTTTTATCGTCTCGGGGTGGTTTGGGTGCTGCCGCCCCCAATTCTGATTCAGATACATGTTCATATTCTCGTGAAGTTTTCCTTTGACCAAGAGAAGAATAGATGGGCACTGACAACTTTTTGAACATGAAGAAGCATGGATGATGTAACCTATGCTCTTTCCCACACAACCGAGAGGAGATCAGATAACTCAAGGCTCCAGAAGAAGTCCACAACCTGTTTCTCAACAGCTCCTTATCTGGGAGTGTGTATGTGGCCATCATCCCCAGGGCTTTAAATTAGGCCAAGTGCAAGCTTGTGCAGTACTACTTCAGTTAGCATAGGGGACTCATCCCAAACAAGATTTGACATTTGATTTCTGTGAACAATCTCACAGGAAGGAAAAACGGGAGTGGTTTAGAGAGTTCCGCTGAGGTTTAGATTTGGCCTCAAGAAGAAGTACAGTGGTTAGCAACACTGGGGAGAATGGACATATCTGGACGAGGAAGCAATAAGAAGAGCCGACACAGCTAAAGCACGGGTTGGGGAGGCAGCTGAGCAAGGCCAAAGAGCCCATTAGAGAACACATGGTTGCATAAAGATCTAAGTATGAAAGGGCAGGGAAAGAGGGAACACTTACCATCCTGGCTGGCACTCCCTGTTCTGGGCTCCTCAGGGCCTCGTTGACTGATGCTACGCTGCTGCCGTGCCTGCCCCGGTGGGAAGCTGTTGTGTGTCAGAGGGAGGTTGGAGATGTACTTGGACTTGCTCTGAATGTGGGTGAAGGGGGAAGATGGGCTGGCATTGGGGCCACCAAAGCCCCGCAGTCTCTCAGACATCTTTGGCCACTTTGTATGAGAAGCTGCCTTGCCTGTGACTCCTCTAGATTTGGCTCTGATGTTGGTCACTGGCAGGAGTGACACAAGGCTCTGTTCTGTAAGGGGAAAGGCAAACATGAAACCAAGAAGATGAGAAAGTCACAGGCACACAAGTCCTCCTTGAGTCTCAGCAAGAAAGGCAAAGTATAAAGGGGGGAGGAGGTAAATATACTAGCCAGATAGCTGATCTTCATGGTCCTTTTTGTCCATGTATAGGATGCAGGCTCTTGCCTACAATATGTGAGCTCATGCTAAAATCAAGTTGTTGGCTTCAAAAAGGTCATAAGACCATAAGAGAAGCCAGTGTTGGATCAGGCCAATGGCCCATCCAGTCCAACATTCTGTGTCACACAGTGGCAAAAAATACCAGGTGCCATTAGGAGGTCCACCGGTGGGGCCAGGGGACACTAGAAGCCCTCCCACTGTTGCCCGCCCCCCAAGCACCAAGAATACAGAGCATCACTTGGCCCAGCCTGACAGTTCCTATCTATACCTTGTGGCTAATAGCCACTGATGGACCTCTGCTCCATATGCTTATCTAATTTCCGCTTGAAGCTGTCCATGCTTGTAGCCACTACCACCTCCTGTGGCAGTGAATTCCATATGTTAATCACTCTTTGGGTGAAGAAGGACTCCCTTTTATCCGTTCTAACCCGACTGCTCTGCAATTTCATTGAGTGCCCACAAGTTCTTGTATTGTGAGAAAGGGAGAAAAGTACTTTTTTCTCGACCTGCTCTATCCCATGCATAATCTTATAAACCTCGATCGTGTCAGCCCTCACCCATCATTTCTCCAAGCTAAAGAGCCCCAAGGGTTTTAACCTTTCTTCATAGGGAAAGTGTTCCAACTCTTGTCTGCACTTTCCCCAATGCTATAATATCCTTTTTGAGGTGTGGTGTACTCGAAATGAGGTTGCACCACTGATTTATACAGGGGCATTATGATATTGGCTAATTTGTTTTCAATTCCCTTCCTAATAATCCCTAGCATAGCGCTGGTTTCTCGGTCTTTTTGTTGCATCAGACTAAAGTGGCTGCTGTTCTTGCATCAAAAAGGTTGTATACACTTGGGTAAAGTGCTTGTTTAGTAAGTTTAGATGGCTTACTCTGAGACTATCACACACACATGACACCCTTCAAATGTTCCACAGTATTTAAGAAATACTGGGAAAGGGTGTACTGTTCTGCTCCCACACATTTTGTCTTACCAGGGTCCCTCTGGGGTGTAAGGTACGTGAGAAGCTTTTAACAACAAACATCTGGATAGCTAGACAGTTCTCAATAGCTATACTGGAGGACACAGGAGAGAACAAAAGTGGCAGATACATGTCAGTTCTGGAAGATGTTGCAAGACACACACAGAGTGACAGAACCCAATCCCTCACTAATGTTTGGGGTTTAATGGTCCTTACCCATCCGATTGGTGGTGATAGTGGTGGTAGTCTCTGAAGCTGCGGCAGAAGACACATTGCTGGGAACAGAACAGCACATGGAGAAGCAAGGAGGGGTGAAACACACTACTATGCTATGGACAGGCAAGCCATAGAGAGAATCTGGCACATGTGTTGTGGCTGTAAGATAAAAAGCATTGGTGTTAGGTAAGTTGAACAGCCAAGAACTGAAGAAGTATCCCACAATCTCAGGCATTAACAACATATTTCATACAACCACTTCACATCTTATTTTTCTCATTCCATACAAACTTTCCCCCTTTATAGTCTGAATCTGCCCATGGAAGAAGGTGTGTCTGAAACTGGCCTTTCACCTGTTCATAGTGAGCAGAAGTTGCCCAGGATGAGGAATGCTCAGTTTTTTCTACATAGGTGTGCTGTCAGCTTGTTCTAGTATGAAATGGCCAAGGCAAAAATTACATGACCTTTTCATAGACATTGACATCCTCCCCCCCCCCCATACATTAGTAGGGGAACTCATTGGATTAAGATGGTCAACTCAGAGGCTGTGCACTTAGATACCCCTTCACAATGGCTGCTGCTACTCATACCTACCATGCTGTGGAGGGGGATCGTCACCAGGTGCATCTGATGAGGCAGCAGTCGAATACAGAAGCTGATTCTTATCAATATTCTGATTGGATCTAAAATGCAAAAAAAAAAAATCTGGGCATGACATTTTGAAATAAATAAAAACATGGCATATGCAGCAACAAAAAGCAATGGAATGGGCAGGAGACTGTGCACAGGGTCAAGTGTGGAACCAGAAGGAGTGAGCATGTTGCGAGCATGAAGATAAAGGCAGTCAACAAAATGGAAAGCAGAAAGGCTGGTGGGACAGACTGGAGTCAATTGTGACTCTTAAGACTTCCACAAATACAGATACATTTCTGGAGGCCACTAGAAATCCCACTCCTGGAAGCCGAGGACTGAGACGTTGTCAGAAGAGAGAGTTCCCACAGCTGTTATACCCATGGCTGCTGCTGCAAATCCCTCTTCCCCAATTCACGGACTGTTGTAGTGCAGGAAGGAGGAAACCCCCAAACCTGGTGAAGCTTGATTTGCTGGAGCCCTTGCTGCTACTGACGTAGAGCTTGCATGGTGACTTTTGCTGACAGCCACAAAGACAGAAATTCCTAAGACTATTTACTGGGAAGCAAGTTCCACTGAAATTATTGTGACCTATTTCTGATAATTGAGCTGTTAAGTCTTGTATGATCAGACTTGTATGTCCTGGTTTGGCTCCAGGATGTCCATTTAAGCCTTTATTTTGACTCTTCACAGTTTGCTTGCCCTCTTTGTTTAGGAGAAGATGGCATGGGGACACTAAAAAACAGGTCAGAAAGGGTGCAATATTTAATATCAACAGTATACTGAAGAAGAAACATCATACCGTGGACAGAGAGCAACTGGGATGCCAGGACCCCTGTGCTGGAAAAAAGCCAGGAGACAAATGGAAGACACAGCAAAAGAACTATGAGACAGAATGAAGAAAGAGGGGGAGGGCGCATGGAAAACAGATACAAGAGAAACCATAAAGAAGAAAATCGGGATGAGTAAAGAGGACAGGAAGAACATTGAGAAGATCAAGAAAAAGAAACAAATGCAACATAAAGAAAACAAGGGAAGAGAAAGGGGGAAGACAAAGAGTGTTATCAGTTATTTAGTAATGAATATTCCAACAATGGTCCAAAGTGTCTAACACTTGTAAGCACATAAGAACATAAGAGAAGCCAATATTGGATTGGGCCAATGGCCCATCCAGTCCAACACTCTGTGTCACACAGTGGCCAGAAATACCAGGTGCCTTCAGGAGGTCCAGCAGTGGGGCCAGGACACTAGGAGCCCTCCCACTGTTGCCCCCCCCCAAGCACCAGGAATACTAAGTATCACTTGCCCCAGACCAAGAGTTCCTATCTATACCTTGTGGCTCTGCTCCATATGTTTATCCAATTCCCTCTTGAAGCCGTCCATGCTTGTAGCTGCCGCCACTTCCTGTGGCAGCGAATTCCATGTGTTAGTCACTCTTTGGGTGAAGAAGTACTTCCTTTTATCCGTTCTAACCCAACTGCTCAGCAATTTCATTGAGTGCCCACGAGTTCTTGTATTGTGAGAAAGGGAGAAAACATGGTTGCACTTACCTGTAACTGATGTTCATTGAGTGTCTTCTGTACAGGCACACATGGGATTGCCTGAAGGCAGGCCTGCCACAGGAGAAAGTTCTAAGAGCTTCTAGAAATATCAAATGTGAGTGCTCCCCTCCCCTCGTACAGGAGAGCTCTATCTTGTTTTTCCTGCCCATTCGGTCACATGATGGGGGGGGAGGCATTATTCCCTCAGCCCTTGCCTGCCACCATAGGAAGAGCAGGGAAGGAGGGAGGGATGTGTGCCTGCACAGAAGACACTTGATGAACATCAGTTACAGGTAACTGCAAGCATGTATTCATCAGCGTGTCTTCTGTGCAGTCCCACATGGGAGATTAGCAAACTATAAACACTGGAAGCAGGTGTGGGCTATATCAGAATTTATTTAAACAAAGAATGTAAAACTGCTTTTCCCACAGCTGCATCTGCCTGAGAATTAACATCAATCAAATAATGTCTGATCAAAGTCAGTGGAGAGGACCATGTCACAGCCCTGCAGATATCTAAGATGTCCACCACTGCCTGGAATGCTGAAGATGATGCTTGAGCCCTGGTGGAATGAGCACAGAGCGGAAAGGGGCATGGTAGATGTGCTGCCTCATAAGACAGCCTAATGGCTGATATTATCCATTTAGATAAGGACTGTGCAGAGACACCCTGTCCCTTCTTGGACCCCGAAAAAGAAATGAATACTTGGGCTGTTTTCCAGAAGTGTGAAGTGCGATCCAAATAAAATAATAAAGCCCTCCTAACATCTAATGTATGCAGTGATTGTTCCACAGCAGAGGAAGGAGTTGGGAAGAAAATAGGCAGAACAATATCGTGTGAAAGGTGAAATTTTGAAAGTGCCTTAGGGCGGAATTCTAAACTGGGTCATAACACAACCTTATCAGAATGAAATCTAATAAATGGGGCATCACACCAGAGTGCTTTCGACTCCCCCACCCTCCGGGGCAGAGGTAATCGTTACTAAAATGCATCCTTCTAAAACAAGAAAGACAACTCACAAGTAGCCTTAGGTTCAAACAGGGTCTGTATTAAGGGAGACAAAACAACTGAGAGGCTCCATTGTGGTAAGGGAGGAGCAACAGGAGGGAATTTATTAAATAAACCTTTCAGAAAACATTTAGTCAGTGCATTAGAAAAAACAGGTTTAGAGTCTATACCCAAATGAAATGCAGAAATGGCAGCAAAATGCACCTTCACAGAGGAAGCAGAAAGACCTGCATCCAGTAAACTCAGAAGACAATCAAAAACTTCCATTAAAGGGCAAATCTCAGGAAGAACTTTATGTTTTTGTGCCCATGAAGAAAACCTCTTCCACTTAGCTGTGTAAGACTGCCAAGTGGATGGTTTACAGGATGTGAGCAGGACCTCTGCCACTCGCTCAGAACACCTATCTATGGAGAAACGAACCATGCGTTCAGGCGGAGCATGTGGACATCATGAGGTTTCATTTGATGGATCATGAGGACGTCCTGAACAAGTGGCAAAGGAATGCCTCGATTCTTGGCAGGCTCTGCAAGAGAGGAAACCAAGGGCAGCAAGGCCACAGAGGTGCAATTAGAATGCATTGTGTCCTGTCGTGTCGAAGTTTCACTAACACCCCCGGTAATAGTGAGAAGGGGAGGAAAGCGTAAAATAGGATTGTATAGAAATATTGATTTCTAAAAACCCCTGCCTTCCCCTGGAATGTTTTGCTGATTCCCTGCTGTGTTGCATTTCCTACTGTTATGTATTCAGCTTACTTGAAGGACTTCGTCTGTGGGTGCCTTCTGAACCAAGGGGGGAGGGGTGTAATGTATTCAGCCTGACATGCCCGGACTTGCCCGGGCTGGCCAGGCACAACTCTTCAATAGCTTCATGTCCAAAGACAATGGGTCCGTAGGATCCTAGCCGGCCCAATCAAAGGGCCAGCTTCTCAGCCGGGAGACCAATGGTCGCCCGGCTACTGTAAATAGCCTATCGGGAGTAGGGGGTGTGTTTAGGTGTACTTGGTGGCGGGTTTTCTGAACCTATATAACCAGCCTGCGAGCTGGTCCCTTCGTCTTTGTCCTGAACTAAATAAAGGTATGCTTAGCTGAAATCACTCTCCGTCTGCATACTTTTCACTGGCGACGAGGATGGGATCCACGACCCCATGAACAAAGACCCGGACGCCAACGCGAGCACCGCACCGAGCCCCGACGCCGAGACCTCCGGGAACCGCGCCGCTTCGCTTCCCAGCTCTCCGGCAACCGCTCATCGCGCAGCTCCCGGCTCCGCTTCGCTCCCTGCTGACCCCGAGAGCAGCAGCGGCCTCCACAACGCTCCCGACGCCATCGCCGTTCCAGAGGCCACCCCACCACGTGGCTGCAACACAATGGCGACCGCGACCGCAACTGAAAGCCTGCCCGCTTTCGATCTCTCCCAGCCCTCGCTGTGGGACACCTGGCTGGACACGCTGGAGAGCCGCTTCACCATCCACAAGGTGGTGGATGACGCGATGAAGAAGGCTTACCTGCTGAGCCACTGCGGAATCCAGACCCATCGGCTCCTCAAGGACTTAATCTCGCCCAAACTAACGAAGGACGAGTCATACAGCTCCTTAGTCCAGGCCCTGACCGACCATCTGGCTCCCAAACCCACGAAGTACGTGGAGCGGTTGGACTTCTTCGCAAGAGTTCAGGGCCCCAGCGAAACCACCTCCGATTTTCTGGCGGCGCTGCGGAGCCTGGCGACCCGGTGCTCCTTCCCCAGCCTCGACGATACCCTCCTGAACCAGTTCCTCGTCGGACTCCGGGAGCCGAAGCTGCAGAGGAAACTGGTGAGCCAGAACGATCTGAGCCTGGACAAGGCCATCCGGGAGGCCTCAGCATACGAACAAGCGCGACAAGACCGCCGCGCCAAGGCGGTCCACCGTACCCAAGTGAGCAGCGGCTCCGACGTCTCGGACCAAGAGGAAGTCCTGCAACTCCGACAGCGGACTCAGCAGCGACCAAAACACGCATCCTCCAGGACCAACAAGGCCCCGTCTCCAAGCCAGTGCGCCAGCTGCGGGGAGGGCCACGAACGCCGGTCGTGCCGTTTCCGGAATGCGGTCTGCCGCTCCTGCAACAAGGCCGGACACATCGCCAAGGTCTGCCGGTCCCAGGGACAACGACCGAGATCGGCCACCCACCAGACCACCGCGGAACTGCCCCTGGAGCTCCACACCGTGTCGTCCCACTTCCCACAGCACCAGGTCTGTAACCTGCCCCCCGACGGCCCAAATAAAATGCATGTGACGGTCCTCATAGAGGGAGCCCCCTGCACCATGGAGATCGACACCGGGTCGACCTACTCCATAATATCCGCGGACACGCTCCGTTCACTGTGTCCTCAGGGGGGGCCACCACTACAGAAGTCACGGGGTTTCCGGTTACGGGACTTTAACAAAAACCCCGTGGCGGTGGTGGGCTGGGGCAAGTTCCGGGTCCAGTTTCAGGGCTTCAAGGGCCAACTGGACCTACTGGTTGTGGACCGCCCCCTCTCCAGCTTGTTGGGACTGGCCTGGTTCAAGGCCCTGGGGCTCTCCGTTACGGGCATCAACCAGGTTGGAGCACAGGATTTCGGGGCGGTGTGTGCAGAATTCCCCCGCGTCTTCGATGGGACCCTGGGGCGGTACACGGGCCCCGCCATCTCCCTGGACCTAGACCCAGCGATACGCCCCATACGCATCAGGTCCCGGCTGCCCCCGATCTCCATGAGGCCGAAGGTGGAGGCCGAGCTTGATCGCCTGGTTGAGCAAGGCGTGCTAGAACCTGTGGCGTCGGCCCGGTGGGAAACCCCCATTGTCACACCAATCAAGCCGAACGGGGACGTCCGCATCTGCGCGGACTATAAATGTACCATAAACAAAGCCCTACAGCCCCACGCATACCCGGTGCCGGTAGTAAGCCAAGTGCTGGCGGCCCTGGCCGGGGCCCGGGTGTTCGGCAAACTGGACTTGGCCCAGGCGTACCAGCAGCTACCGGTGGACGCCGCCACGGCCGAGGCCCAGACCATTGCGACCCACAAGGGGGCCTTCAAAGTGCACCGCCTCCAGTTCGGGGTCTCAGTCGCGCCGGGGATCTTTCAATCTTTTATGGATTCCCTTCTTAAAGGCATCCCCGGAGTTCAGCCGTTTCTAGACGACGTGCTGATCGCCGCGCCAGACCCCTCGTCCTTCGCAGACCGTCTGAGGGCCGTTTTACAGCGCTTCGACGCGGCGGGCCTCAAGGTGAAACGGGAGAAGTGCCTACTGGGGGTGCCGCGGGTGGAGTTTCTGGGCTTCGCGGTGGACGCCGCCGGCCTGCACCCCTCCCAGGA